GCGCGCGGGGCTCCTGGGGGCTTCAGGAGCAAGTGTGGGGCTGGGCGCGGTTCCCAGGGGCGGACCTGCACCCTAAACCCCGCCCAGCCCTGCCTGGCTGTGTGGCCCTAGGCAGGGACTAATTGGCAGCTTCACTGGTTCTCTTATGCGGAGAATATTCCGGCTAATTAGCTGAAGCTTAGTAGCACCTTAGCTGGTGTCATAATGAATTAGCAGAAGCTCCCAGAGTTAGTTACCTTTTAGTTACTACCTGTGACACCTGGTCACCACTCAGCCAGGAGCCAACATTGCAGCACCCGGTTCCCCCAGATCCACCCAGCCAACCTCGGACCAACTCCCCCCGTCAGTCCATACCCACCCCCCACTTCACCCCTGCCTCCTGCAAACCGACTTGCTCCTGCTTTCAGCCTCTCCTTGCTGGGTCCTGGGGCCACTTTGGCCACAGACTCCTTTTCTGTCTTCTTGGGCCTGGCATCCACTTTACCCGCAGGGCTACCCTCAGCCTCTGGCTCCTGAGAATCCTGTGGGGAGTCACCAGTCATCTTGGGTATTTCCTTCCGGTCTTTCCTCTGGGGCTGCCCAACACCTTCCCATGGACTGGAGAAACCCACCCTCCTTGGCCAGTGTGTCCCTGATTCCAGGGGAGCTCCAGCTACTCACGTGGGCCCAGCTGCTGGAGTCGGCCAGCCTGGGTGTCACTGTTAGTGGGAAAAGAGGAAGACTCAAGGGGGGATCCTCGTGGGGATCCTCAGGCCAATCCCACCCTCCCCCAGGCTCTGCTGGGCGCGGGGCAGCTAATTGCTCCCACTTTACAGATAGGAAAGCAGAGAGGCACACAGCAGTTCCCTGGCAGGCTGGGATTAGAACCCCAACCCGTGTGTCCCAGCCCCTCTTTACGGCAGAGGGGGGCGGGGAGGGAGCGCTTCTTATAGACCCCTGAGGCACCAATGAACCAGAGGTGGGAAATAGGGGCACAGTTCACAGTTTAAGCCAGTGTGAGGGTCCAAGTCCTGGTCTCTGAAGGGGAGCCATCTTCAGAACGGGGGGGTGGGGGCATGGTCTTCACCCTGCCAGCGCCCCCAAGGATATCGCCAGCCCGGTTCCCCTGGGGCCTGCCTGGTCAGAGATCAGCCAGCACAGAGAGGTCCTCACCCGCCTGGCAGCTGCCCAGGCCTCCATCAGGCTTCTCCAAGGCCATGGTTGTCATGGAGATGTCTGGGAAGCAGCAGGTTCAGTTCAGACTGGAGCTGTGGAGGAGGGCGGGGGATGGGAAAGAGGGATCTTGCATTTACTGAGCCCCTGAGTGGGCCTGGGCCTGACCTGGTGGGGAGGATCCTGAGTACATGTATGACCCAGTTTCTGCCTCCCCCCAGCCCCCTTTACTTGGCTGATCCATACTCACCCAGGGCTTGGCCCAGGTGCACTCCCTGACCCCAGGTCTGCCTTGAGACCCCTCCCCAGTGGCTAGTCTCTCTGGGGCCCCAGCATCCCTGAGTACACAGTAGAGGCTGCTGTGACCCAGAAAGGATTAGGATCCACCCAAAGTCACAAAGAGATGAGCAAAGAGCTCAAACCAGAACCCTGGGCCCCAGGGTCGGCTCATGTTCTCTGAGACCAGGGACTATTTTTATCCGTTGCCCAAGAGCCATGGGAAGGGCCAGCATGTGGCTGGCCCATCCCCTTCCAGACCTTTCCCCCCCTAGGGATCTCCCTCTGGACCATTCTCACCTGCTATACCTGGCACCCAGTCCCCCCCCCCTCCCCGTTCCCCGTTCCCTAAATCTAGGAGCTCAAGTTCCAGCAGCCAGGACCAGCCTTGCTCTGGCCAAAACAGGCAGGGGAACAGTGAGGGGGTCCTGGGGGCCTCTCTATCCCAACACTGGGGTCCATGTCTCCTCTCACTGCCTCTGCTCCTTCAGAGCAGAGGCGGAAACTGAGGCTAAGGATGGAGGTACTGGCCAGAGGTCGTACAAGAGCCCGAGGTCAAACCCAAGTCCGTCGGCATCGCAAAGCCCTGCTTTCCGGGATCCCCAGTCCCTCTGGCTGCCGTGCTAGTGTGTCCCATTCCCTGGGAAAAAGGTGACTCTTCTCTGGGTCTGTCACAGGGCAGTGGGGGGGCTAATGACCAGGGGGGGTGCACCCCTAGGTGCGTAGGGGGTAGCCACAAGAGTTGGGGACCCCCATGGACCTCAGAGATGCCCTCCCCAGACCCCCGGAGATGCTCACCTCCGCCCAGGCCTCCTCCTATTCCGCTTACTTCACAGCCACCATGCTGGGCCTGGTGGACGGGATGGAGATGGAGGGTGACTCCTGGAAAGACAGCAACAGGTGGCCAGAGGCAGAAGGGTGGGCCAATCAGCTCTGTGGCTGGAGCAGGAAGGGGAGGAGAGCCAGGCACAGCTGGGGCGTCCTCCCCCCACCCCCGCTGCTTGCAGGAGGGCCAGGCATTGGCTGAAGGGTGACCCACCCCCACTTCAGCATAGAGTCACTGTCAGGCTGGCCCTGGTAACCTGGGAATGTTCTCTCCTGTCCCTAAGCATCAGAAAAAGGGGCTCTAGGGGTGAGAGCGCTATAAAAGGTGGTCCTCTTGCCTTCTCCGTGTGGATTCTGTCAGAAAGCCTTTATGAACCACGGATTGTGTGCCACCCCCCTAGCTGGCCTGACCTGTGGAGCCCAGGGCAGCAGGGAGGGCTTCCTGGAGGATACGGCCACCTTGGGAAAGCTGGGCTCCGTGGCTCTTCTGCAAAGTGTGCTCACTTCCTGCCGGGGGACAGTGAGGTGGAAGTGAGTTACTCCGTATTAAGTAAACACTGGGTAACCATAGGCTGTGTCATGCCACCTAGTCACACTCTTGTTTAGTCCAACATCAAATACTCCACCACCCAGCCCAGCCTAGCATTATGGGAAATTATTTTGTCATAAAAAAAAAAAAGAAAAAGTAACAGCTTTATCGAGATACTATTTACACACCATACAGTTTACTCTTTGAAAGTTTACAATTCAATGGTGTTTAGTACAGTTCTGCCACCGTCACTTCTATCTAATTCCAGAACATTCCATCACCCCAGAAAGAAACCCCGTCCCCACTAGCAGTAGCTCTACAAACCCTCATCTCCCCCAGCCCCTGGCAACCTCTAACCCAATTCCTGTCTCTGTGGATTTGCCTGTTCTGAACATTTCATGGAATCACACACTGTGTGTTTTGTGTCTGGCTACACACACATATACAATATAAGCACAGATATTAAAAATATGCACAGAATTAAGGAAACAGTAAAGAAGTTATTGGCCAGTGCTACCTTGGAGGAAGTTAAAATGAAGCAGATTTGCAAAAAGGTATATGAAGATTATCCTGCTTATGACTTAACTGAAAGAAAAGGTTTTCATAAAAACAACTGTTGCCGAAACCGGTTTGGCTCAGTGGATAGAGCGTCGGCCTGCGGACTGAAAGGTCCCAGGTTCGATTCCGGTCAAGGGCATGTACCTTGGTTGCAGGCACATTCCCAGTGGGAGATGTGCAGGAGGCAGCTGATCGATGTTTCTCTCTCATCAATGTTTCTAACTCTCTATCTCTCTCCCTTCCTCTCTGTAAAAAATCAATAAAAAATATATTAAAAAAAAAACAACTGTTAAAGAGCTAATATATATACATACATACATACACTAGTGGCCCGGTGCATGAAAATTGTGCAAGGGGGGGGGGCAACCTGCACCCTCTCCAATCTGGGACCCCTCAGGGGATGTCCGACTGCCGGCAGTTGGACATCCCTCTCACAATATGGGACCCCTGGCTCCTAACCGCTCACCTGCCTGCCTGCCTGATCAACCCTAACCATTCTGCCTGCCAGCCTGATCGCCCCCCCGCCCCCGCCAGCCTGATCGCCCCTAACCACCTCTGCCTTGGCCCGCCACCATGGCTTTGTCCAAAAGGACATCTGGAAGGTCTCCCAGTCTAATTAGCATATTACCCTTTTATTAATATAGATTTTTAATTGATTTCAGAGAGGAAGAGAGGAGGAGAAAGAAATAGAAACATCAATGATGAGAGAGAATCATTGATTGGCTACTTCCTTCATGACCCCCACTGGGGATCGAACCCACAACCCAGGCATGTGCCCCTGACCAGAATCAAACCCAGACCTTTCAGTCTGCAGGCTGACGCTCAATCCACTGAGCCAAACCGACTAGGGCAAGAGCTAATTTCTTGAACTAGAGCAGCGGTTCTCAACCTGTGGGTCGACCCCTTTGGGGGTCGAACGACCCTTTCACAGGGGTCGCCTAAGACCATTGGAAAACACATATATAATTACATATTGTTTTTGTGATTAATCACTATGCTTTAATTATGTTCAATTTGTAACAGTGAAATTGGGGGTCACCACACATGAGGAACTGTATTAAAGGGTTGCGGCATTAGGAAGGTTGAGAACCACTGAACTAGAGGCTAGAGTCAAATAACTTGTTCCATGGATTTAAAGATATAATTTATATCATTACTAGAGCCCTGGTGCATGACATTCGTGCACTGGGGGGAGGGGGAGGGTCCCTCAGCCTGGCCTGTGCACTTTTGCAGTCCAGGGGCCCTCAGGAGATGTCTGACTGACAGCTTAGTCCGGCTCCCCATGGAGAGGCTCATGCCACTGCCGCTGCGCTCGCTAGTCATCAGCCGCCTTCTGGCTGAGCAGCTCTCCCGCTGCGGGGCAACTCCTGCATTGAACATCTGCCCCCTGGTGATCAGTGTGCATCATAGCAACCGGTCATTCCGCTGTTTGGTCTATTTGCATATTACCCTTTTATTATATAGGATACTAGCAGAGAATGTATTTCCTTTACTAAATCCTCGCAAGCATTGGTAGAATTTAATGCTGACTTTTGATCTTGAGAGTTACAGAATTTGAGTTTGCCATTTTAAATTGCATTTCTTTTTTCTTGTGTCAAGGGCAAAGGTGGCTTTTATTTCCTCTGTTGAGGAAGTAGGGGAGGGGGACTTCCTCAAGCACACCAACTTAAGGAAGGGGTGGTGTGCCCTCAGAGGAAGAGAGCCGATGGTCATTCAGAAGGGCTCCTCCAAGTCCGCTTCCTGGCCCCAGGCTTATTGACTTTTTTGAAAGACCCAGGCATGTGCCCCTGACCGGAATCTAACCCAGGACCCTTCAGTCCACAGGCTGACACTCTATGCACGTGGCCCAAACTGGCTAGGGTTCCATTGACTTTTTTTTTTCCCCAAGGGCAAAAGTGGCTTTTATTTCCTCTGTTGAGGAAGTAGGGGAGGGGGACTTCCTCAAGCACACCAACTTAAGGAAGGGGTGGTGTGCCCTCAGAGGAAGAGAGCCGATGGTCATTCAGAAGGGCTCCTCCAAGTCCGCTTCCTGGCCCCAGGCTTATTGACTTTTTTGAAAGAGAGGCAAAGGGAGAGAGGGAGGAGAGAGAGAGAGAGAGAAACATTGATGTGAGAGAGACACATCAATTTGTTGCCTCCCGCAGGTGCCTGGACGTGGGCAGGGATTGAACTTGCAACCCAGGTACTTGCCCTAGACAGGGAATCAAGCCCTCAGCCCTTCAGTGGGCAGGCCGACACTCTAACCACTAAGCCACACACATAGGCCAGGGCTTAAAATCACATTTCTATGCAATTTTTAGTTTAATACTTTGCATGGCCATATTGTTCCTTGCTTTTATAGTTGTGTTTTATACATTTTGGATTTCTTTATATAAGGTCATAGATTCTTGAACTGTTGCAGTTTTTAGTACAGTTAAAATTAGTTTGTTTAAGACCTATTTTTAATCAAGTAGGACAGAAACTATGATAACTGGCTTCATACATGCAGAAACCAGTGCAGTATTTATTATGTGAAATATTTTTAATACACATCTGTCAGTGTAAAAATTCAGTGGCAGAGTGTTCATATTAAGAGTATATAAGCTTTGCCCTACCAGTGTGGGCGTCAACCTATGAACCAGGAGATCATGGTTCGATTCCCAGTCAGGGGGTTACAGAAAACCAGAGAAGAACCAAGCAACGCTTAGAGAGATGGAGTTACATTTATTATTATTATTACGCGCGGGCCCAGAGGAAACTTTATCTCAAATTCTGGGCGAAATCACACAGGAAGTTTCCTGTATTTATACCATCTTACCCTCTTTGTCTCCCAAATATGGGGTTCTGTTCTGGCCCCCTTTGCAAGTTCTTAAAGAGCCCCTATGTGCTGGGGCTTTGAGACCTCGACCAAAGGCTTGGCCTGACGCCAGCACTGATAACTTCGTCTGGGGAAGGTTTAATGGCCTCTCTGAAATGGGAGTAGTCTTATTTTCCTTATTATTTAAGCCAGCAAGCATCTACAGAAGCCAGAAATAGCAGGGTTAAAATTTCAAACAGCAGTTTTTATATAAGATGGATGCTTCAGGGGCACATGCCTGGGTTGTGGGCTCGGTCCCCAGTAGAGGGCATGCAGAAGGCAAACAATCAATGATCCTCTCTCATCATGTTTCTCTCTCTTCTCTTCTCTCTTCCTCTCTGAAATCAATAAAAATATAGTAAAAAAAAAAAAAAAAAGAATACATAAGCTTTGCCCTGGCTAGTGTTTCTCAGTGGTTAGAATGTCACCCTTGGACTGAACAGTTTCAGATTCGATTCCCAGTCAAGGGCACCTACCTGGGTTTTGGGTCCACTTCCTGCCCTGGAGTGAGGTTTGTGTGGGAGGCAACCAGTCCATGTGTCTCTCTTACATCGATGTTTCTCTCTCTTCCTCTCCCTTCCTCTCTCTCTCAAATCAATTAAAAACAAAACAAAACAGACGAAAACAGCCACCCGTTTGAGACAGGCCCTGCTAATTCTGGCACAGGCCCTCTCGTCCCTGGCGGCTGTTTTCACAAAGCTGTCGCAACACCATGGACACCTTATCATCCCCCGCAGATGTGTGTGTGGATCTGTGGCCAAATCGCAACCGTTTGAAGCCTTCCTTGGCCCTGCTTCTCCCTGAAGTATGTTTGATGCCTCTTTAAACTAGTCGTTCTGTTTACTTCCCTTTTTTCTTGCTGCTTGCTCAAGAGTTTCTCCTCCCCCTCCCCTCCCCCAGCAAGAATAATGTTAGGAGAAGAGGCCAGGCTTGAAAATAACAGTAACCATGATGAAAGGTGATCCAATCAATCATATATATATATATATTGATTTCAGAGAGGAAGGGAGAGGGAGAGATAGAAACATCAATGATGAGAGAGAATCATTGATCGGCTGCCTCCTTCACACTCCCCATGGGAATCGTGCCTGCAACCCGGGCATGTGCCCTTGACTGAAATCGAACCTGGGACCCTTCAGTTCGCAGGCTGACTCTCTATCCCGCTGAGCCAAACTGGCCAGGGCCTCATCTTTTTTATTGTTACTCTTTAGCATTTTATTATGAAAATTTTCAGATATATAGAACGATTGGGGGAGTTTTACAGTGAAGGCTCACATACCTGCTATTTAGATGCTACAGGTAATATTCTGTTGTGTTTGCGCTATTCCGTCTTTGTCTGTTTGTCCATGGCTTCATCAACCCATCTCACTTTTTTTTTTTTAATCCTCACCCCAGGATATGTTATCGTATTGATTTTTTTCTTTTTAAGAAAGAGAGAGAGAGGAAGGGAGAGAAAGGGAGAGAAAGATCGATGTGAAAGAGAAACATCCATCAGGTGCTCCCAGTACATACCCTGACCAGGGATTGGACCCGAAACCTAGGTATGTGCCCTGACCAGGAATGGAACCTGCAGCCTTTATAGTACGCTCCAACCAACTGAGCCACCCGGCCAGGGCTCAACCCATCTCAGTTTTGAAATTACATTTCGAAGTCAGTGGCAGGCATGGAACCACTTCAGCACACACACCATGTGCTAGAGATCAGAACCTGTTTGTGGCTTTCATGGTTAGGAGAAGTTTACATGAAGCGAAATGTAAAGTCTTAAGTGCACTGTCAGATGGTGTTTGTCGAATACACACACCAAATGTCACCCATTTGGTGACATTCCCATCATCCCATGTAGGAGTCTCCTGTGGCTGCTATAAGAAATCACCATGTGAGGTTGGGACGGCCCAAGTGAGGTTGGGACGGCCCTGGTGAGGTTGAAACGGATAATGGGGACCAGTATAGACTGATGAACAGGGGTAGATGCAGAGGCAGAGCAGCATTGAACAGACTGTCAAACTACAGTGGGAAGCCTGGGGAGGGTTTTTTGGTCAACCGAAGGACTTATATGCATGCATATAAGA